TATATATATATATAATATATATATATATATATATATATATATATATATATATATATATGTCGTTCCGAATAGGTAAAACTGGTCACTTAGCAAGAACTCATTTAAAATTAACATCCTTTCTAAAAAAATATCTTATACGTTTAAAAATATATTTTTTTTCATTTATGTTAATGTAAAAATTAATAATTTTGTACCAAAAGATCCTTAGAAAACTTACCTAACATTGTTATAACATGCAAAATTTAATTTAGCCTAATCTAACTAAATATATTTTAGATAAGTTTATAATATTTTAATAATAAACGAACACAATGAAATATATTTTTTCGTTAGGTTCAGAATGATTTTTGCGAAATTATTGCGTAAGCAAATTTTAGCTTGCTATTTGAAGCCAAAATCACATGTTTTACCTATTCTCCACGACATATATGTATACATATAATGTTAAAGAAGTTAATGTTACCTTTAGCTGAAAGTAGGGTAGCACTTGCCCACGCAGCCTTCCTTGAAACTAGCCGTTGTTAAACACTGAGTGACACAACTTGTTGCCTCAGTCATCCCGTAACAATTGTACACATCCACGTTCAACTGTTGGGGATAATTGTATTTTTTTCTCAGATTCACCTTACTTTTTGTTTCTCTAGACTAGTAGCATCATATTAATTCTAAAATCCAAAGACTGATGGTCATTTTTAAAGAAGCTCCGTAGAATATTATGTTATAAGATATAAATTTGTATGGACAGTGAATTATGGATAAATAACTGAGAAGGTAAGAAAAATATGGCTAGAGGAGCACTGTTGCTTTGTAGTAGTCACTCATTCTGGCTTATACACGACAGAGTCTATAGTCCAGCCAATCTGTAGATGAACTTCAGAAAATTGTAACAGAATTTTTTTTCTCCAGAATTCAGTTCGAACAGTATCCAGAAGTAGCATATAATCAAGTAGATTTATATAGGTGAGGGAAGTTTCCAAAACTGTGAAGGAAAAATTTCCAACGTGGGCGATAGCATGTAAGCTGAGTCCCCTCTCTTCGTCCTCACAATAGCAAGATGCAGGTGTGGACCTAGTTGGTCCATACCTGCATCTTGAAGAAGACATGTGAAGAGGTTTCTAGAAAGCAGGTCAAGGTAAAAGTAGGTAAGTAAAAAAAGCCAAAGTTCGGCCTGTGTTTTCTGAAAGTTAGAGCGTTTAACAGTGTACGGGTAACAGTAATTTAAAAAAAATTATCCGATAAGCTACACATGCAATACAATGACTTGATACGTCCCTTTTGATGAATAAGCGTCGACTCTTATGAATGTTTAACACGGTTACCCCCTTGCATAGTTTAAAACGGTTACCCCCCTTGCAAAGTTTAACACGGTTACCCCCTTGCAAAGTTTAACACGGTTACCCCCTTGCAAAGTTTAACACGGTTACCCCCTTGCCTCTTTCTTTTCCTGAATAGTTATCAAGAAAATAGGTAAGCTCAACATCTCATTCCTGGATGATGGCAATGTGGGGGACGCCACTATCTCTCTGTGAATCAAAATAATCGAGAGAGCACTGAAAAAGCCTAAACTTATCTCTTAACCCTTCGAAATGAAAACAAGTGTCCTCCGTTAAACCCACCATAGAGCAAGTCACAGGCACATTGGAGAGAGAGCAAGTAGTTAATTACACGGACAATATTCCCCTCGGTGCTCCACTAGGATCTAACGTTACTAGTGAGAGTCTGGGCAAAAAAATTGTTGATTTTAAAAGGATGGAAAGTAGGACTGGAAACAGTGATGCCTATAATGTATTCTATCTCATTACTAGATGTTCATCCCTTCCTAAGCTAAACGAATATTTAGGCTGTTACCATTTTCTTGAAATCCCTGACCTGAATCAGAACAAAACTTTTTTTAAAGTCATAGTTAAAAAAAATCAATATCATGACTCAAGAAATCGTAATGACACGATTGCAAATAAACCATACCCATTACGATTTCTTGAGTCATGTTGACGGCAGTGAAGGGACTTGAGCTAGAGTTCGTCACGGCCACGCTAGCTGGAGATTCGTCTGTAAAAACTTGCATTTGTGGTCACAGAGGTGCCTGTGCTAACTTTCCTATGGTGTAGAAATATACCTAGTTGGATGAATCTTATTGTGGCTAGCTGGTCTAGTGGCTAACGCGACGGGCTGGAGTTTTGAGACTCTATGACCGCGGGTTCAATCCCGGCCGGGGGTATGAATCAATATCATTCTGAGCACAAATCACAGGGACGCAATCCTAAGTTCCAGTCAGGCACGGCAAGCCGAGAATTTCTATAGCCTCTTAGATTACCTTATCAGTCTTATCTTTTTTCTCTACAGGATTAAATTAACTGATGAAGCAAATTCTTCCAAAATATAAATTTCAGAAGGGTTCGACGATTCAGTCTACACTACAAGCAAATCAAATCACAGAACGGGTGAGGTTTGAACCCATGGTAGGGTTGTTAGTCTTAAGGCTAGCCTAACATGGGTTCGAACCCCACCCATTCTGTGATTTGTTTGCAATCGTGTTTTTACAATTTCGTGAGTCATACTAGAGATACCACTTGGTAGAATGCTTTCCTCAGCTCTGCTAATAAGATCTGTTGAAGCCATAAACTATCTAAATGGGAGCGCTACACCTTGGACAAAGATTTCTCCAACAGAGATGAAGGCTGAAAGTTTACCAAAGAAGAAAACACGCCTCTTCTAGCTGTTCTATTTACTACAAATGCACGTCTCGGTCTACAATCTTTCTATGTTGAAGTGGCCCCTTCTCTTTCTGCTCTAATTTATTCTGAATACAAGTGTATTTGGTGTAAAGCAGTAGCTGGTCAAAATGGTGTGCATAGTCTGTAAAGTGCAGTTCCCAAACAAAAGCTTGTTTTTACAATGAAGTTAATAATGAGATCATAGAAATAAATCTTGCCACTGACAAGTACCCAATCAAAAGGGGAACTTTGAGTTTTGTCATGCATCCCAACCCTCGTGCTAGCTACCCCGATGGAAACATACATCACTAATGGAAGACACTTAAACACCTGCTGAGCATAGGAAAGAAACAAGCTCAACAAGTACAGTGATCGGCTCTCCAGTATTGATTTTTTTTCCAAAAAGACCAGAGACCATTGGCCCCTGTGTAAAGAGTGCCACAAAGTTTCATAAAAAAGACAGGTTATAGGTTCTTGGAAAATACAGTAGACTTCTCAGATATCACCTTGGTCTTCCCGTGGTGAAGCATGGTGATCCATTACGAAAACACTTTCTGTATATTAGGTTCTCGTGAAAACTCTAAGGAGTATGAGGAACTTCACAACCTAAACTAAATTTCTCCTGTATATTTTTGCAATTGCCCACTAAAGAGAAAGGTAGAAAAATAATTAAAACTGATTTAAAAAAGATATACTGATTTTCCTCTGAGTCATTGTAATTACTTCTGTTTGATATTACTAGCACGAGAGGCAGAATCTGCTTTTACACACACACATACACACACACACACATACACACACACACATATACACACACGTTGCTGTTTATAATATATATCAATGATCTTGATGAGGGAATTACTAGTGATATGAGCAAATTCGCCGATGACACAAAGATAGGTAGGATAATTGATTCAAACGTAGATGTTATGGAACTTCAGGAGGATTTAAACAAACTCTATTCTTGGTCAGAAAAGTGGCAGATGCAGTTCAATGTAGATAAATGCAAGGTTCTGAAGCTTGGGAGTGCCCATAACCCTAGTACTTATAAGTTAAATGATGTAGAACTTAGCCAATACAGATTGCGAAAAGGACTTGGGGGTTATGGTGAGCAGCAACCTTAAACCAAGACAGCAATGCCTAAGCGTACGTAATAAGGCAAATAGATTACTGGGATTTATATCAAGAAGTGTAAGCAACAGAAGTCCAGAGGTCATACTGCAGCTTTATACATCATTAGTAAGGCCTCACCTAGATTATGTAGCTCAGTTCTGGTCTCCGTATTACAAAATGAACATAATTCGTTAGAAAACATTCAGCGTAAGATGACTAAATTAATACATAGCATTAGAAATCTTCCTTATGAAAATAGATTGAAGACTCTTAAGTTACATTCACTTGTTAGACGAAGAATGAGGGGAGACCTGATCGAAGTGTATAAGTGGAAGATAGGTATTAATAAAGGGGATATTAATAAGGTCTTGAGGATGTCTCTCCAAGAGAGAACCCGCAGTAATGGATTTAAATTAGATAAGTTTAGATTTAGAAAGGACATAGGAAAGTATTGGTTTGGAAATAGGGTAGTTGATGAGTGGAACAGTCTACCTAGTTGGGTTATTGAGGCTGGGACTTTGGGTAGTTTCAAATCTAGGTTGGATAAGTACATGAGTGGGAGGGGTTGGATTTGAGTGGGACTTTCACATCAGAGCTTATTTCTTGGGTGGCATTGAAAATTGGGTTGGGCAAATGTTTTGTTAGTGGGATGAATTGTAAAGGACCTGCCTAGTATGGGCCAGCAGGCCTCCTGCAGCGTTCCTCCTTTCTTATGTTCTTATGTTCACACACACACACATACACGCATACATACACACACACACATACAAAAGGGACATAGAGACACAATGGGAGGAGGAGAGGGAAAGGTTAGTGTTTATTCATGGGCTTCAGGAGAGTGAGGGGAGGATGCATGATGAAAGATAGCAGGAAGAAAAACAGGAGATTGAAAACATCATCAAAGAAATATGAGATGAGGACATGTCTGAGACAGTAAATTTTCAGAGAAAAGTGGGGTACTTGAAGGGGAGAAATCGTCTGGTCAAGCTGATTTTCAAGACAAAAACAGTGCAAAACAGGATCCTGCAAGAGAAATCATGACTGAAGAAATCGTCAACATACAAAAGAGTGTTCCTAGACCGAGACAGAACAAGAAGAGAATGATAGCAGCTGAGGGAGAGGACACAGAAGCGAAAGGGGCTAGGAAAAGAGACAAGGAGAGAATCAGCAGAGGACAACCAGAGCTGGGCAGAGCAACAAGCACAAACACACTCAGAACCACCCCCAGAACCCCACAACCAAACATGCTATCCCAACACAATCCACAATCCACACTTACAACCCCCACCCTACACTATGCTGCAGAATCCCACAGCACACCACCAGGTCCCCCACCCTCACAGATCCCCCGGAATACACTGTTGGAGAAGAAACTGAAGGTATGGTACACCAAAGCTGATGGAATAATGAATAAATGGGAGGAGTGGTACGAAAGAGTCAAAGAGGCCTCACTGGACATCATAGCTCTCACAGAAACCAAGCTCACAGGAATGATAACAGATGTTATCTTTCCAATAGGATATCAGATATTGAGGAAAGACAGAAGGAACAGAGGGGGTGGAGGAGTGACAATGCTCATCAAAAACCAATGGGCTTTTGATAAGGTGGAGAGAGGAGACAGATGAGAAGCAAGAGAGTAATAGAGTAATAGAGAGTAATAGATTGATGGTTGACACACTGGCTGAAGTGACTTCAACTACAAAGAAATCGACTGGGAGAACCTGGAGCCACATGGGGACCCAGAAACGTGGAGGGCTAAGA